GTTCCTTGTGCTTTGCTCCAAATTTAGTATCATTGTTATCCTCTGGTTGTTGATATTATATTCACATCCTTGTTATCTGTTGTATCATTTGATATTATTCAAAGCTCGTTTGTCTGTACTGCTGTCTCTTTTGTCTTTTTGCCCCACATATATATTTTATCGATAAGCTGACCTTGTCAAGAGAAATGTTCATGTCTCCATGTTGCCAGCAGCTCATAGATTTTACCCTGAGAAGATCAATGAACACATAGACAACGAAAATGTGCAGAGATAGCAGGCATTATTTCTAACAACTTAATGCATATGTGGCTTCGAAATGACTTAGCAAATTATATGGGCACATGTAGGACGGACATCTCATAAAGGAATTGCATTTCCGATCGTGCCAGCGGTGATGGACAGTCATTGAAAGCCAGCTATTCAAGTGAACATGTGGTCATTCACAGAACAATCGCCGTCAGCCGCCTTCCCGTGCGCTATTGCCGTAATAAGCCACATAAATGTCTGAAATCGGGCAATTGAGAAGTGTGACGTCGCCGTTAAGGCACCATCAATGGCTCGGCTTACACAAAAGTCATTCTCCATAGCTGGCTATTAGCTGCGTTCCTGCCCCAGATAATTGACAGACGGCGGTGCCTGGAGTATATGCCTAGTTACATCGCGATAATCTGCAGTCTCTAATCCTGACTATAGCTCCGCGGGTAATGATGCCACTGCGTTAGAATCAAATTAGTCTTGGTGCGTTCCCATCAGCCCATCTCCGCCTCGGCGGTTATAATGGATGTACGCTGCCTCCGTTCCGCTCACATCCACTCAGCTGCAGTAACACTCCTTAGTTCCAGATGCGCCAATTATTTAGAGAGAATCACGATGTTTAGAACTTCACTGAGTCCCCTTAAGTACTAGTAGATACTTCTCCTGAGAGTTGAAGTCCGCTGCTGACACTCAATATTTCTACACTTGTCCTAAAATTGTTGTAACCTACTGGGAGATAAACGTACTGAACTGTGCCCAAGGCTAGCCGGCAATTTCCCCGCGAACTGTTTAATGCCGGTTCAAATGAAGGACGGGAGGCGTTATTTCGCGCATTCCCAATTACAGGTATGCGTCCCGGAGTAAATGGGTGAGGGAGAGATCTAGTTTTGGATAATGGAAGTGTAGATAATGTATGGTCTCAATGCAATTCTCGGTTATAATGCTGCATGCAGACAAACGAGATGGCCTAAATGGTGGGGATACTGTTTTAAGTTCTCGTTGATATCGGCGCTACCCTATCTCCTGGTTCATTACGGTTGGCGTGGCTTCCGCACATCCATCTTTGTCACGTTACTTGGAATGTACGGGGACGTTCTGGCAAGACGCGGCCGTGAGCGATGCTTGGTTGTTGGAACGACAACAATGGAGGACAAAACACTTGCTGAAGCTGTTATTGGTAGGGTAATGAATCCCCGCTCCAGCGGACTGGATAATTGGACGGGGCTGGGAGAAAAGAGGGTGCACGAATTACCGACGCGGAGGACCTCCGTGGAGGTAATTCGCACAGAGCCTACTGGTCTAGAATGGGCAACGATTAGCATGCAACGAATCTACATTCCAAAAACTTCTGCGGCGTCCGATCGCTAGGCAAAGGATGGCGGAGCAACGATGCTTTGTTAATGCATATAGCTTTTCATTAAGATTAAAGCGACGCCTTGGTCTTCCAGCTCACCAGAATTGTTCTCTGTAGCGTGAAGCTCACACCAAAGCCGCTTGGCACGTTACAGTATGACGTAGTATTGAAAGGTCAATTGTTTGGCAGTCACGTCATGTAGTTCGCTCGTAAACATAACTTTTTCCCTTTGACATAAAATATTTACCGCTGCTAGCCGTTCAATACAACGTTCACGTGGCTGGTTGTCATGTAAATGGCCTGACATGTGATGGAGTCGAAAAGCTATACCAGCACAACGATGCTATGGTCGTGCAACGGATTTCTAAACAGTTCGTTGCATCGTGCAGTTTTTACATTGGTCATATTTGTTTGCACAACCATATTATTTTTGAAGAATGCATATCAATGAAAGACGAAACTTCCAATATGCTGGTACAGGCCCTGCTCCCAAGTCTAACACCATTTACCTCGAAAAGAGGGCGTTACGCTATTTCACATGGTGTATTTTCTGAAGTAACAAAAGAAACCAGACAAAAACATCATGCAAAAACAATATATTTCCCTTCACAATGTGGGGATGGTACATCGTGACTGGTGGGTACCGAGGTTGTCAAGACCGTTTACGGGCGGACTGTCCCTTCTGACCGGGCTGACAGACGACAGGGATGTTTATCGATCCGACCTGATCGTCTTCGGAAGGTCCCTTATTTCACAAACAGGGCAGCCGTAAACCTCCCGTCACAATGACGTGGCTCCCTTCATTATCACGTCCTAACTCTGCCGGCTAAGTACACCGTTCAGTTTTGTGGGGCACCTTTACGGGCGGGAGTGTCGTTTATCTGCCGGGCAGATCTTACAGCAGGTCATCGGAGAAATAGTGCAGGTGACGGTCAAGGTCTGCGGAAATGTCCGGTATAAGGGGCGACCCTCTTAGAAGGGGAGGGGCCAGCCATCTGGTACAGAAGACGAGCCATTTCCCTGGCAGATAGACAAACGGTCGGGTATTAGGAATGCCCGTGACAGGGACGGTTTATTTTTTCTCCGATGGGGCAGAGATCGTGAGCAAATTGAGATGTTCGGCAGGCGTCTCCGGGAACAGATCCTTTAATCTTGTTTTTAAATAAAAGGCGTCCCAAAGCCAGCGTGAAGATGAAGACGTATCCACAAGCATGCAAACCTCAGTTGTGAGTCGTCCCCTCGAGCCGATTGTTTCTCCTGTATCAATCCCTCGGGCGCAGTTTAACCTGGCCTTGGAATGCCAGAGACACAACTATTGGAGATGACTCCAGCTTTTATACCTCTTAAGCAATAATAGTTTTAGTTGGTTTGGCAATCAGTGTAGCTAGAAACTACCTGTTCGTTAAGAGAATGTTGAAAACAACTCTTCCGGCCTTTTTTGTTTGAATTCACAAGACAATAATAAAGTGCCATCCCATTATGTGGTCTAAATCCTTACGCAACAAATACAAAAGAAACCATTTTCAAAATCCCATTTCTCTGGCTTCACAAGACAGTAAGAGAGTACCATTCCATCAAACGTTACCACTCCCCTTCTAGGCCCGTGGCTCGATGGGGTGCTTCGTTTCCACTTAGCCGTCACATCCACCCCGAACGCAAACGTGCACTTAACACTGCACCACAGACGTGCTTCACATCTGAATCACGTCACTGCGCCTTGTAAAACCCAATCATCATTTCTGATTGAATTAACACCGTTGAACCTCCCGACCTTGCCTGGCTTCCCGTGTACGGAACCATGTCCATTCTGACCCTCCCCATCTATAAAAACCGCCCCGAACATATCGCCCCGTATCAACATGACCAACGATTGCACTACAGCCACAGTGGAGGTTCCTAGGGCAGCTTGATTCATGAGCAAACTGTGCCCAGAAAGCTCCCTCCAGTTAATTCAAACGTGCTGCCGTTTCCTGCAGAGTGGAGGCAGTTGAGAGGGGAGGATATGAGAGGAGAAGCCCGGTATATAAAAGGTGGAGGCGATGATGAAAATAATAAAGAGGATTCCTTTGAGTTATGGTAGCAATGACGCAGAGAGCACGGCAGTGTTATCGAATATAGTGTTGAAACGTGGGGTTATCGTGTAAATATGGAGACTGTGACTAAAGAGGTCCTTCAGCGAATTCAAGAATGGTGCAGAGACCAAAAGAATGACGTAGTCGGGGTTAAGAGAACACTAGAGACATACTTTCAGCTAACCCTAGACCGCAAGCATCATAGAGGAGTGATATTAACCTCTGAGAGCTTAACGGCGATAAATTTGCATGCCACTATATATAAGTGTAATTCTTCAGCTAATTCAAATGTGACTGTTGATAAGGCAGGCTACGAGAAAAGGATATGATAAAGTAGGGCACAATAATGACTGGAGCTAATACAGATAAGCTTCGGCTATGCAGTGATATCGACAATGCCTCGCGGTGTTCTAGCGTGGCTAAGTGCGGATATCGGTCGATAATTGATTGTCAGGCGGAGGCAATCTGTGCCCGTGAAGCCCGTGACATCTGCATGTTCCCGGAGTGACATGTTGTACGGGCCGGTCGGGCCGGGGAGCCGCGCGATGTACCGTACAGAGTGGGGCGGGTTGATTAATAGCGGGAGTCTTTCGGATTTGGCAAATTCATCAGGATCCAGGAAAACATCATGATGTCGTGATGGAGCAATGTCTACCTGTCGGCCAGTGCGGGAGCGTGTTCTCTCCAGCCGCTGTCCTAAATAATGTATAAGTATCGCCTGATAAATCAATCAAACTAAGGACGGTGCTTCAGATAACCCATTTTCGCTTTGGTCACGATTCGCTATGATTGATTAGGCCGATTTTTCAATAATCATTGATGAGAGGTTCGCGACACGTGAGCATCGGTTTTCTTTTGAACATCATCCGCCTCCATTTACTATTCATTAGCTGGCCTTAGCGGCGTGTCAGGCGCCATCTAAAACCAGCAATGCAAAATTGCCTACAAAAGCGACATTTATAAGCATATTAAGGGCGATTAGCTTTGTAGATATTTGCTGCTGGGCAGTCTCTAAAATAGCCACAGTTTCACGGTCAGTTGAACATTCCCGTGTACGAACATTTGTTTCTGAAGGGATGCAACATTCCAGGTTTTAAACTCCCTCCCGGTTCAAACTTTGCAGGTTTGAAGCACTGATTAGTAATACTTGGATGGGATGAACTACAAGATAGGGGCCAATAGTCTGCCACAGTTGCCGGTGCACTTTTCCACCTTGCCCCTCCCCGCGGCGTGAGGTGGACGGGTCCAGACGTGCTCGGCATGAGCAGGCAGCAGTACGGTGTTGCAAACGTTATTCCTGCCGCTGCGATGGTCGCGTGGAGACGCTTCCCGCGGATTCTCACACCTCAAACCCTCTTACCTCACACATAGATGCGGTCCTCCCGGATGGAATGTGACCTGTATCAGACCGTGTTCTTAGTTGTTGTGTTGCCTGTGTTTGTAGCGGACGCTGCCGTGTACAGGACGGTGCCCCAGTCCACAGCTGTGCTGCTCGGCCACGACGTGACTCTGAACTGTTCCCTGTCCGGACTGTCCGAGCAGGACGTGGTCAACTGGCACTGGTACAACCGGGCTTCTCAGGACAAGTTTCGCCACATCTCGGCCGGTAGTGTGGTGAGGAACGAGCTCTCCCGCTACTCCATCGTGGGCGACACGGGAGGAGGGGAGTTTAACTTGAGGATACAGAACGCCCGGCTGGAGGACGAGGGGAAGTACCAGTGCAGTGTGTTCTCTGTGGACGGAGTCAGCAGGGATGCCAAGTTAACGGTTGTCGGTGAGTACAAATCGTTTGTCAACATCTATGGCTTTGAATGTCAACAATGCAATAATGACATACACTTGGTCTTTGGCGGTGTCTAGAATCTTAACCTCATGCAACCATGTAGTGCAGTAAGCCAAAGTATTCTTTGATCACAACAATATTTATTACCAGATTGGTGGACGTCAAGGAAAAGGCAACACCGTCTTTTAAAATATGAAGTAAAATATACGTACTTCATTCACCTGTGAATTACTGACAACAAAGATGTAGTCCTGGTCAACAGTCAACCCATTATTGTTGCCTGATATAATATTTCTAGATAATTATAGTCTTAAACGGTAACTGCCTTCTTCCTTGATACAAAGAAATGTTGTGATTAAAGAACTGTGATTGATCTTTAGGAATTTGCATTGAAAACTGTTCAATTGTGGAAAAGGGGCTCTACCTTGTGGTCGGTTTAATCCCACATGTCAATCTCAATAGTGTGTGGGTGGATCTGTGCCGTTGTCGCGGGCTGATTCCCTGTATGATAGCTGTAATCTGATACACAAATTATGCCGCACGTTCAAACGCATCTACCTGGAAGTAAACGTTTCTTCATGTGAGTAGGTTTATTTTACCCGTGATTAATACGATGAACATTATACCTCTTCATTTTTCTGAAATTGGATGTAATTCTGAAATTAGACTTTCTGCTTATCTCACTTTCCATATTGTCATCTGTTTCATGATACAATGTATTCTCTTTCATTGTTGCATGTACATTTTATCTTGCTCTAGTTCAATGGATGGGGTGGGGGCAATAATAGTAGCGTTGCCTGAGTTCGTCACCACAATCTGTAGTGTGAAATATGTAATGGAATAAGGAATAAACACTATAATATCGCCCTTCCCCTCCGTTCCGCAGTGTTTACACTGGGGACACCACCTTTAGCAATTGTTTATATAACCGCAGGGAGCCGGCCCCACGGGAAGGGTAAGCAGCCGTCATCGCGTGAGAAACATCCCTTATCTTTGTAATATCCTTGCTGATATAATCCCTATTTGTGGTCAGGTGAACGCAATCCACGAGCTACAATCTCACACGTTGATTACTCGATCAATAGCTTTCGTTGGTAGGTGCATCCTAATACCCACTTACTCGTTTTGGCGCTGTAAAGCGTCGGAGGAGCCGGTACAAGTTAGTCATGATCGCCGAGATCAGGCAGATACGTTTGAAGACGGGGATTAGTAGCGTGAGCATCACAGCAGACCGTATCTCTGACTAAAGTAGCCTGTGTACGGCGAGCAGGGCGCTAGCCTAGCGGCATGTCTGCTCTTGTTAGGGAGAGGTAAAGGATACCCCGTGGATAGTACAGGTTTTATTGCCTGCTGTATCCCTTTATACATGGATGTACTTGATATATTCTCTCCATTAGGTTACTACAGGCAGGCAATCAATAACTAAAATCTCGAAATCCCCCCGCCGAAGGTCGTACATTCCCGGCAATGGGTTAAGATCTCAGCCGAATTATCCCGCTCCGTGGCCGCCCCGACCCGGCCGTGTCCAGGGCTTCGGGTTTGTTTGTGTCGAGTTTTGTTGTAAGGAGATGGAAGAGGCCGAATGTGGACCGCTGCGGCTTGGGGTGTAAATTATTCATGTCGGGACGATGGGCAGAGTCGGGCAGCTGTCGGGGAGTGTTAGATGGGCCGACCAGGAGGACAGCCCGGGCATTAGGCGGTTGGACCTGATGAACAACAGGAGCAGCAGGTGTTGTCTGCAGTGGCTGATGCACCTCCGGCCCTTAGCTCGCTGTAACACTATGCTCCCCGTGTGGTGTTTACTGTAATAAAAATCCTGCCAAAAGGTGAGATGAGGCTCACCATGGTAAACTCTAAAACATCTAGCTGTAGGGCAGGAGATATTAGGTTTGGGTTACTCCGGGTATATCAATAAACAGACTCGTTTGATGGCAAGGAGAAATGTGTAGATAGGCGATAACAAACTCTTCTGCTTTTCGTTTATGTTATTAATGTACATCCCAGAAGGACAAAGCAGCCATTAGGTGGTCCTAGCTGATGAACATCTCTGACAGGAGATGCTGTAGGTACGGACTAATACATCTCCAGGAGTTTAGAGCCCGCTGGTTCAACCTGCTACAAGAAAACATATAGGGACATGATTAAACAGTCTGACTTGATAGCAACGGGCGTTTACAAGGTGCAGAACAATTTCCTCTGTTTGTGGTATATGTAAATGCACATCCCACAAGGACGAGGCAACCATTAGGTGGTCGGAAATGATGAACACCAGCCGGCCGCGCTGGGATGACGGATAACACTGAGCAGGTGCTGTGGGGAGGGAAGCTGAGCCATCCCTGGTCTGGCCGAGTCAGCTTTCTCTCTACAGAGACAGAAATCAACCCACAACTCACGCCAATGTCTTCTCGAATGGGAGCGTCCGAAAGCAAATCCTTCAATAGTGATGTGGAAATGATATGACGTATTCCCAGGTCTGCAGAGATTAGAGTAATCCGCGATGATGGAGGAGGCGGCGGCAAAGTTGTCCCATTGGACCAATCATTTCTCATATGATAATTCTCCCAGAACGCTGCTTAACCTCAACTTAAAGTGCAGAGGAAAACGGAAGGAATAGAACAGCTTGAACAAAAGGGCGCCAGCTGGGGGCTGCATTAAAGTGGCGAAATCATAGGTTCACAGATTGCTGTTTGGGAATGTTGTTTGGCTGGAGTCCATCTTGCTACTTATTCCACCATCGGTTCGTACATGTATGTAATTCCACTGCTGAAGCTCATCAACGCCAACACAAAGCATCAGCTGTCGGGCCGAATAGGCGGATCCATCAGGTTAGGGCCAAGGGAGCGCCTTGCCTTCAACAAACGTCTAGAGACACGCTTATAGAGACTCATATGATATTAAGGAGATCTGTGTACAAGATACAACTAAATTAATTGGTTTGAGGTCTGCCAAATAGCACTCTTCGTTAGTTTGTACATAAATCTGCTAGTGACGTACGCTGATCAAAGACGACTCAGCTCATAAGCTCAGGAGAGGGGACCATTAGAGGTTCTGTAGACAAATGGCCTTCCAGATTTATCCAAAAATATCATCAAAGGAGATCCCCACATCTTAGGGTAAAAGATGAAGAGCTAATGCCTGTGCAAGCAATATCGACTTAAGCCCGAGGTCATACGAACAGGAAAAACATCTGATTGTGCACGTAACATAGGCAGGCCAATAGACCTGACAATCAGCGCTGACAAGGAAATGTACGAGGCAAGGTTACTTGAATACGTAATGACTTTGATTTTCTTAAGAAAGACTTCCAGTACAAACTATGCGGATATAATGGGAAAGTCAAACAGTTTATACCTTTGAGTACGCCAGGAAACTGTACGACATGACGGAATATGGCGGATATAGGTTGTAATATGATGGAATACCGCACCCAATCTCACCTTTCATAGGGGAAGGCTGGCTGTGAAAAATCGTTGAAAAGTAGGAAATCTAAAATTAACAGCCATTTGTCATCATTTTGCTGTGGATTTACAGAACCTTTCATGACATATCTTTGAAATTGCATGAAATAAGGTCAGCTGTTGCCCAATAACTCAACATGTCGGATTCTTGTCGACGTGTTAACCCCTGAAACGTACGTTCATTTACATAAGAGGTTTGCGGGTCGAAAGTATACATTTTGGCTGCAAACTGAATTTAAATTAGTTGCAAACTAAATTTATTTTTAGTAGCTAGTGCATGTACAACTATAATAAAAACAATCGTTCCTTGACTGTAATTGAAGAAGCAATAGTCCATCAATAAACAGCTGCCTTGTGCAGCAGATAAAGAGTAGGCTTTGCTCTTGGGTACTCCTAATCATGAACATATGACACAGTAATGTCTATTAAACTTTCAGAACGGGTGAAAACACGACATGACTCGTGTTTATTCAAATTCAATACGAATCCGTCGAGTGTTAAGTGCCAAAACCGTACTTTACAATAGAAGGAAAGATATCAGGAAACACGGTGGATGAGCACAGAGCAGATACAAGGCGCAGAGAACGATAGGGGTAATTGCAGAGATGTCCTGTAGCCTTGGATAGGCAGTGTGTCTCCGTGCGCCTGGGGAGGTTTTGGAGTAGCTTCCAATTGTACTCTGTCTTCAGCAGACCTCAGAGGAGACAAATGCCTCTCAGTGCAATAATGTGAAAAATCGTCTCCGAGGAGCTCCAGCGGCTCCAACACCTGCACCTTTGGCAACAACAGCGGGTCTTAACGCAGCAACCTCCCGGGGGATCTATTTATCCTAACCATATACTCACAGCAGATATCTAATGTATACATTCCAGAGAGATGGCGGGAAAGGCAATCCAATCTAGACAATGGTTAGGTCCTCATGTTGCCGAGCAGAGAGACGTAATGCCCCCGACACGGCTAGGACAAGTGGATTCTGTCAGAATCCACTCGGAGAGAATCTCATTCATTCTCACAATCAGGGAACTCACGCGCCTGCCTTTCACCGTGCCTGATCAAAGCAGATCATTGGCACGTGTCTCCGCGCGATGTGACAGAGGCCTGCGCTGAGGGACCGGCTTCCTACTGCCGGCACGGTCCCTGCATGGCTTCTGCCGTGATGGATTACCTGGGTACACCCCCACCGGGAGTGAAGCATCACTATGGGTGTGTCAACCTGCACTTAAAGACTGCTGGAGTATCTACTGTTTTGTCTGATGTCTTAACGGCCGTAAAAAGTGGCAGTAAAGCCACTGAAGCGCGGAGGATTCTCCTCACGTCACGAGGAGGACACGTTTTATTACCTCACAACGTTATCCACATCTCCCTGTCGGAACATTCCACTGCGTCACCAAAGGAAAGGCAACCTTGTAGCCATGCTAATTCTGGCCGGGTTATTACTGTGTAATCTATGTAGGTTACGATGCTGGACAGAGGGGTTGTTAAGATTGTTTGGAGATAGCACCAGTCTTGAGGCTACTTTGAACGTAAGAATGTATATGATCTTATACCAGAAATATGTTCACTTTTTTCTTAACCTTAACAAAGGGGCCACATGTATTGCAGGGACTGATGGAAAATATACAAAAAAGACAGGACTTAAAGCCATAATTTCAAACCGATAAAGACTAAAGGCACGTGATGTCATGTCAATGACGAATTTTATTGTGCTCTTGTAACACAGGAGGAAAGTTTGTAGCCCTGCACATCCTCGGTGGGTAATTACAGAATAATCTATATAGGTTACGATTCCGACCGGAGGTTTTGTGGCGTCGGTGAGATTGTTTGGGGATATCACAAAACTTGATGGTCCTTGGGACTTTGGCATTCAAGCGAGACTCAACAAAATTCAATCTAAAGTTGTATTCATCAAAAACTCGTATTTTAACTGTTAACTCTTTCCCAGTTTTAACAATTTGAACATGAAGCAGAAGTCATCAAAATACCTCAATGGACGTCACATAGAAATAAAGCAGAATTAGGCTGATAATTTCAATCAATAAAGACCATGGCACGTGGCGTTACGACGTGGACCAGTTTTTATTGCCCGCCAGCGTTATCCGCACCTCCCAGTTGGGAGATTACAGCTATTCATGTCAGAAAAGGACACTTTGTAGCCATGCTAATTCCAGGTGGGTTATTACAGTATAAGCTGTGTAGGATAGAACTGGCGCGTCGTTAAGTTTGTTTTGGGATATCACTGACATTATTATTCCTTTGAACCTGACTGCTGAAGAGAATCATAGCAACAAAACTATGATTTAGCGTTTGTTGACCAAAAAATGTCAACCATCTCCCGATACTATATTTGCCCTTTGAGTATGGGCTATGTCATAAAACACAAAAGAGAAACACGTAAAAGAAGCCACCAACGCCATAATCAGCAATATTTCAGCTGATAACTTCCAAACGTAAAGATGTGACGTCGCGACAAAGGTCAGCTTTATTACCTTACAGCATCTTTCAGATATAACAGATAAAGTGTTACAGCTGTGAGATATATATAACCAGGACTTGAAATACTTGAATTACTGCATACCAGTACTGATGCAGGTAACATTAAGAAAATACCTGTACTAAACATAGGTCAGTGTAGTGTAGTTTCGGCTCATCTCTGATTTTAACCTGCACTAACTTGCTCATGCAGGTAGCATTTCCAGCCCCGTGATAACGGTAGAGGAACTTTGTAGTCGTTCCAATTTTCGGTCTGGTAACTACAGAATAATCTATGTAGGTTACGATGTCGGAAGGGAGATTTTGTAAGTCATTAAGATTGTTAAGATATGAGGAACTTTGATGCTCCCCTGAAAATATAACTTGAGCGGGTCTCGTCAAAAGTAATTGCCATTTTGCTAATGCTTGGTCGGGTAGTTACAAAAGGATCTGTCTGGGTTACGATGTCGGACAGAGGTTTTACGTTCTCGTAAGATCGTTTGATGATATCACCTGTCTCGAGGCTCTTTTGAACTTTAGCATTCAAGCGAAACTCAACAAAAATTTATTTACCTTTTTATGAACCAAAACCGACTTCCACCTTCTCTGCTTCATTGGTCTTTTGAATTCGAGCCAAAGGTCATCAAAATAGAGTACTGGAAGACACATAAACCCGGAAAACAGCAGAATAAGGCAGTAATTTAGGCCAATGGTGGCTTTAGCCTACCGTAATGCCAACTACCTACTGCGTATTCCCTAGCATTGCCGCCTCTCACCAGGAAAGACAGAGCCGGAGAAGATATCAGTCGAGTCAGCTTACAAGGCATGATCCGTTACCCTGCGCCCTGCTGGGGTCTGGGGAGCCGTGTAATATTTCATGTCTGAAGACATAACCCTGCAGGGGACATGAGATATTGGCACGGATCATCCCTGGTAGTCAGATCACTGCTGTTCTTATTCATGCTGCCTGACCTCCAGGTATGCTTCTGGCCAAAGGTCGGTAAGAAGGGTCTCAATCTTCGATACAAGATGAGAATGATGATCTTCACTTGATTCCGGTCATGTTTCTGTCTTAGTAACAAAGGAAATGCCTCGCACTCTACATGAGGCCACAGGAAATCTTTATTGATGCGTTGGAGGAAAGAAAAAATATGCATATTATCTCCGCTTTCTATCGAGACCTGTGGATGTTTCAAGGCTGATAGGAAGGCAAGCCAAGGCCATGAGAAATCTTTATTGATACGCTAAAGGAAGGAGAAAAATGCTTCCCATCTTCTGTGTCGTCTCCGTAAGATACCCGGGCCTGTAGCTGTATTAAAGCTGATAGGAGAGTAAAGCCTCCGTAAAATGGAGTCCGGGCTTCCACTTCTGTAGTAATCCCTGGGGCGGAGGAGGCCGTAACCTGAGGAATCGGGTAGTCTCGGGGTCAATGAGTGCCATGTCTATGGAGGATGTCGGTGATATCTGTATGGATCCCCCGTGGGGCGGCCTAAACTTGGACGTCAGCGTTCACAATCTAGAGAAGTATATTAAGGGGGCTGGGAAGTTGTAAATATTGGACATACATTATGGCATATCCTTGCCCGAGGGCTAATTGCAAGGTAATAATAAGTGATGGATACAGCAGATACCATGCAGTGAAAACAGCAGGCTGCTTCGTGATGAATGGTTTTATAAATCCGAATTTGTGGAGTTTGACTTCTTTGTTAAAAGCCTCAGATAGGGCGCACCCAACTTTGCTACGATTAATACGTCGATGCTCCGGGTTGAAAAGTTGGATAGTTTTTGTGTGCTAAAACTAGTAGATAAATGTGTAAAGGGTACACTTTGACAACGTCCTCTATTAACTCTCTCCCCAGTCCTCTATTAACCCTATATCTCTTTCTGTCACTGTCTGAACATCTGCAGGGAAAATGACTATGTCTTTCACTGCTTTTAAATTACACTATTAACGTCTCGCACTGAACATTTCGTCTTGATATCATATATTGCCCCGGAAACCCCCTAGGAACCATCTGAAATATCTTGTACCGCTGTGATCAACAAAGGTTACCAAAGAAGAATGACTTACCCTATGATGTCAAGCCGAGAATGCGGCAATTTGCAATGAGCCACGGTGGGGTCATTACGTGAGTTTTCTTCGTCTTCGATTAGTAACAATTTGTCTCTCCACTGGCAGCGCATTAAGGGAAGTGACATTACTGCAACTCTAATCGACAATACGTGGGGTACCCATTCAGGAGGTCTTTTTGCTAATTGTAAATATGGAGATCGATGGGAAACATGCAGCAATTATTTTGTCTATGCCATAAAAATTACATGCATGGTGGAGGAAATTGTACGTGTATTCCATACTCGGTTCTTAACTTATTACACCTGCTGCGATCAAAACAGGTCGTCAAAGAAGGATGAAATCATGAGCAAGTTAATCGACACTAAGTATTTTGCTCTTAGTCTATTCAGTTAAAATTTCTATTAATTTTCATACACCTGCAGCGCAATAAAGAAATAAACACATTTTACAATCCATTAGTCTCTTAACCTAATATGTCGCACCGCTGTTTTTAACAAAGATCGTTTTCGGACTTACTGTTAAAATGAGGCGGAGACAACAATCTGCAATGTGCAACTGATTAATGTTTATTACTAAAAGCGTCTTCTCCTTAAATTAGTAACAAATCTGGGGATAGAAACGCTTGTCTAGTAAAGTGATATTAATGTTGTATTGACTGGTAATGAGAGGCGCATCTGTTGGATGATGTCCCGTTGCCAACAGAAGGGATCTCCTGGCAGCATTTGGTTATCAGCTTTACTATGAAGAAAATATATCGAGAGAGAGAGGTCAAATTGTAACCTAGAACAATACTTCAAGTAAGACAAAGTCGAAACTTCATGCTGATGAATTATGTTGCTTTGGAATAATCGACCCAGATAGTCCAACAACGATGACCCTGTTTTGCTCGGTGAATGTGCACAAGGCAATGGGCAATGAGTTACCAAGGACTCTTATTATGTTTATTTTCTTCTCCCTCGATTGGTAACAAATTTGCCTCAGTGACAGTCTGTTAAGAACAAATACATCATTGCGCTACTAATTGGACGCAGGCTGCCCGACTACAGTCCCAATGGAGGAGACCCTCGAGCTCCAATCTGCAGAACATATTTCTTTCAGTGCTTCATTGTCAGATCCAAGGACAATGCCTGAATGTGTGCACCCGTGCGTGATTAGCAGCCAGATTATGAATTAATCAAATAATGATTCAACATACATACATGCACACATACATAATCATACTCTTGATGATCAGATTCAACATAATGGAACAAAATGTTAACGCGCGCTGAATACTACAAAGTATACACATAAGTCCTAAAACCAAGATTCTCTTAGATATTTGTGTCTATTAATCCACCACATATGAAATAGTTTTTAGACAATCCCGTGAGCAGCTTGTTGCTGATCCGGCTCAGTTGACAGTATCTTCACATTATCTCCCTGGAGGTTAGATTAAGACCGCACTGCAGAATTGATCACGACAGGATTAGATGTAGCGGTTTTGATTGATCCACAGGAGACAGATCATCGCCGCTGAGTCAGCACCTTTAATCAGCACCTTAAACGGGGTCGGCACCTAATTTGGAAACATAAGCGGCAATAATCAGCTTTGGTTTAACAAAATAGCGGCAATCAATGGCAAATGGATTTGCCCTCCCCACTATAGGCTCATTAAGACACTCTGTACTTTTTAATAACACTGCTACTCCGTCTCCATTTGCAGTGCCGCCGCCTGAACCACCCAGGATAACGGGTAATTCCAACCCTCATCTTATTGGGGAGGGGGCGGTGCTAACATGCCGCTCGGAGGGAGGAAGCCCCCTCCCCCGCCTGTCCTGGTACAACGGTACGGTACAGCATAACCAGTCGGACACGAAGCTGTCAGGGAACGGGGTGGAGGTGAATTTCCTGGTGCCGCTGCTGACGAAGTGGCACAACGGGGCGAACCTCAGCTGCAGGGCGGACCAGCGGTTCCCGGGAACCGTTCAACCTCAGGTCGCCTGGACTATCCTGGACGTGCAGTGTAAGTACGACATATCGTATCCATGTATTATGTATATGTTAACTGAAATGGTTACTACATTACAGTCATTTTATAGATAGATTTAGAACAGTTCGTTAACTTTTTGTTCTGTTACTGTTTTGATTCTTTACCTGATCATGGCTTTCTGGCCATAGCCGAAATCTAGGTGGTAGACACCTCCTGAAGTTAGGATGATGCGTAATTTATACAGACGCCCCTGGTACAATGGGACAATGGCAGACGCTTCGTGTTTGCCCCATAGATAACAGAGTTCACGTCATAAATGAATTTCCAATGCTCGCTTTTGGTCTTTTCTATCGACAAAGCCTGGGTATTGGTTAGATGCATGTATCCAACAGCTAGAAGGGGATTTTCTCACAGCGGTTTCACAAATCCTAAAATGACAGGTTAAGCTACAGGCGTCCAGAATATGTCTTATAGGGCCTTCACCTGTCGACATAGAATGTGCAACTTGACAGTGAAACGTACATAGGATTTGTAAAGTGATCCTGAGGTTCACAGGTGTGAACTGATACCAAAGTACGTAGATGGCAGATGTAACCCGATACATATCAATTGTAATCTGATACTTTAACGTCTAGAATCTTGCAAAATCTCTTTATAAAGTTGAGTTCGATTTTAACTTGTTTAGAATATGCTTGGCGCCGGTCCAGAGATCTTCTCAGATCAGAGAGGGTTTTCTTCGACCGCCTGGAGGCTATATCGATGAGGGTGGCGGCTTAAAGGGCATCGGCCTACGAGCCGCGGCATGAAGGGGTTTAGTTCCGACCCCGGGGCGGAAAGGTTGGCGGGAGAACGGCCATGTGGAACCGATTCATGTAGATCCTACTGCCCGATCACTGGTGGGCGAGGAGGTTACATGTAAATCCCAATATGGACGATGATTCACGTGTGGCAAGGCCATGGCATTGGAATTATCATATGCATTACCTGGTCTCTTTCTGGGGACATGGACTTCCCCTTGTCTTGAGCAGTATCTGTCATATTGCGCCACGGAAAAATCCTGCCTAAAGCAGAAAAGTGCAGCGGAATCGATATATATGCAGACAAACGTGTCTGTACGTCAGGCGCGAGGATATGGCTTCAGCGATATCAGGGAGAACTCGTTCAAGAAGAAAGAAAGTCACGTGAGAGTCTGCAGCTTCAAAGTGTAGCTTCCACTGATGTGCCTTAGATCTGGTTAGTACTTCAACTCAAAGTACAACAAGAAGAACAACTATTTCGATACGATGAGTGGGTCTTTTTCTTTCACAAGACATGAGCTTTCTTTCTTGAGAATGATTCATATAGTGGCATTACGTAACCTTGCCTGATGCCAAGAAAATGTAACAAAATCAATGCATATGTATTTATGTACTAGACAAACGCGACCGGAGTAAATTCATGAGACCATTACGTTAGTGACACCTGGTTGAACACCATGAGGGATATATGTGTGTGTGTGTGGTGGCCTGGGCTTTGTGTGTGGGAGGGAGAGGGATGTTGTGATTTGCGTGTATATGTATCTGTGTAAAGGAGTCTTATGTACATCACCTCAATGATACAGTCTGCTGAAGCTGCAGATGACCTGCATCCGGTCAGTACATGTACTTCAAATTCTCCATGTACAAGAAGGACCAATATTTTAAAGAACTTCGTGTGCATGAGTTATTATGAACAGTAAAGGACTTCCATGTTAAAGTCGGCTGGCTGCAGAAATCAAGAACTGAAAGGAGGATTTGCAAGCTTCGATGTTTCCTGACATTAGACGAGTGTGTTTTTGTTCATTGAATAATACCTGTAAGGTCCTCAGGAAATGTTGTATTTCAGCGTTATTAGAGTCATCTCGTCTTTAAGACATTACGCGCCTCCTGTCTTGAGAATTATTTATCATATGACGCTACGATAAAGACCCTGCCGCTAGCAGAAAAGTGCTGCCAGATCGATTTATATGCAGACAAACGTGGCTGTTGTTGAAGCACGAGGTCATTGCTTCATCGACACCAGGTTGAACCCGCTGTGGGGAACCGATGTGAGGCAGGGTGATGGTCCAGAACAGTCCAGCTGCAGAAAATTAGTAGACAGCCTCCGCGAGCAAGGCGACGAAAAAGGAAATGACTTGGGATTCCCGAGATTAATGTTAGAGCTAGTTAGACCTTCTTCAATCTGATTAGTCACTCCAGCTCTAACTATAAGAAAGTCACCTTTTGGGTTAATATAATAGGTTAGTCTATAAACCAGTCAATGACAGTTGTATAATTAACTAGTCCCTCTCTCCCTTCTCGTAAAATATCTGTGGATGTGTAACAAGCAAATCAGCAGATATTCTGTCACGTCCTGCGATTTAATATCCATGAAATTAAGAATTGTCAGTATGACTGTTTGGGGAGCAGTATATTTGTGGGGAGATGGATGTACAACGCACGCGGAATGTAATGAGGCTGATGGGTGTACCTGAGTTATCATCCGCGTCGTCGGAACTCTGAAATATTAATGAATAGCTAAAATCTAAAAGTGTACTTGTTACTGTTTGAAGCCTAGATCAAGGCACGTTTATACCAATTGTCGTATGTGTATGAATCACGGGATGACCTGTTTGAATTGAAAAGGGCATATTTGTCCTTGTAATAGGGTGTGTTGATTTGTAATAGTAGTTAAGGAAAGTAACTGAGGAATAACGGTGTAGTTGGTCGTTTTGATGAAAACACACAACACGACAAATATCTCTTTCAAAAAATGTAATTATCAAATAATATAAGATTTCTGACTGCCTGCGACTGACACTCGAAGAAAGTGAGCTATTTTAAGGTATCGGGAACAGGAAGATAAATAATGTATATCTGCCCTTTAGGACAACATGACAAAGCGCCGAGGATGTGTTAGATTTGTGGATAATGCGTTGCACCGATGTCTGTGATAGTGCCAAAATAACGTATAGGTGCCCTTTAGGGAAACATTACAAACGCCAAGCATAGATTTGCTGGTAGTATATTGCGCCGCTGTGTGAAATAGTGTTGTACAAAGGAGAGGGAGGGCCCTCCTCCATCAATCCACCGATTTCCTGTTCAGGGCGGAGTTATCTGGTTATTGATGGCAGCCATCTAGCCGAGATTGCACTGAACGTCTCTAAGTACATTTTGTAATCCCACCGTAGCCTTCCGCACGTAAGGAAACATTTCCGCATCTTATAATCGCCATAATAGCGTCTTTTCTTATGAAACGTTTTGTTGTACTTTATAATTCAGACTTATTAAAGACACTTGATGGAGATAAACTAGATATGTATAGCAGAGATACCAGTATGTTTTCAGGCGATTGTAAAAGTGTCATCTTGAAAAATTATGTGTCGTCTGACAGAGATGGGGGTACTGTGATACAGCGGGAAACATAGTGGTTTAAATGATTATGAAGTCATAATGTAGACCTTCCAACACGTTATCTTTAAAATGTATACAATAACTTTCCAGAATCGATTGCAAAGAAGTGTAATACCAGAAGCCTTTTGTGACAACATTGGTGTCTCAAGACGAGAGGATTTCGCTATCCAAACAAAGAGGAGATATTTGTAAGTGTTGGAACAATGTTTAGTGCACCGCAGAGGAAGTCTGGCTGCAGCAGATACGCCACACGAGCAGTGTGCTAATCCACAAGACAGATGACCTCGCCGAGATGTTGAGCTTCTTCACTAAAAGCAACAACCTGTACATAAGCACACCCGCCTCCATGGGGGCAGAAATAGACACCGCCATTCAGGTCATCCAATGAATCACTGGGAATAATGACTCCGAGAGTTCATAGAGATCGTGAGAGAAAACACGGGATTCCCCAGGTTTGAATCACCGGGTGGAATGACGGTGTGAGTTCGGGGAAACCGCACGAGAAACCCGGGCCCACCTGGGGTTCCACATCTCCGGCTGCGGATTACGGCTCATGAGTGGTCGATTTGTCCTGGAAATGATGCTACTTTCTATTAGTTTTTTTCCTGTTTCCGGCCCTTTTTAGTGTTGTTACCTTCGTAAAAGTCTTGTTTTTCGATCCATTCTGTCGATGTTGCTCACGCCCTACCCGTAATTTGTTTGCTGTACATGTGCTGATTGATGTGGCCATTAGGCTATTTGAAGCGTTGTGGAACATTTTCGATCCATTGTAGAAATTCTTTCATTAATCTAGATGAGGATTAAGTTTGTCACTGACCTTCGACCGGTTCTGTAAATGTCAGGCTGAACGGGGTGACATCGTTTTCCGATTATGCCTAGAGATGCTACTTTTATTGGCACGGACGGGGATTAGGCTCTCAAGGTTTTTCGATCCATTCTTGGGATGATATAGATATTTACACCTCGCCGAGAATGCTTGTGTAAAACTGATGGATGCCACTACGAGAACGTTAGGACTGTTTGTAAAACACCTCGATCCATCCTGTAGATGCTACTTTTATTGGTCTAGCATGGGGATTACGTTTTTATTGTTTTCCCATCTGTATTGTGTAGTGAAACTACCCACACCTTCCTGGGAACCCATTTGCCGTACTGAGGGATGTCGGTATCGGAATGTGCGGAGCGTCTGTGCAAGGTTACGGTAGACATGCTTCTTCATCAGCTGTTGTTTCTCCAAACCATTACTGGTCACCCTCTAGTTGTCCTTCCGAACGAATAGCCTAAACCAATACCAGGACCATGGCGGCAATTATTGACAAGGCCGCTGACCGTAAAATCTAATCAAGTCAGGTCAAGCCTGACCCCGCGAACCTCATCACGTGTGACATGGTGATGCGAGCATGGTGGCGGGGCTCCATTTATCAACTCATCTGCACTTCAGAGTCAGTGGACGGGGTCTGCACACTACTGCACATGGAATGGGAATGTGTATCGATCCAGCTTAGGCTTTTACTGAAGAGCTAATCTCCCGCTGGTCGTGAGAGGCAAATTCAGCACAGTATGCCCAGGCTCTACGTACCAGGTGCAATCAGCATAGAAGCTGGGTGTAACTCTTCGTTGAAA